AAAAGGGGTTCTTTATATAGGGCTTCCCTGGAATTCGGTGATCTGGGGAAATAATACGTACTAAGCCTATTCGGATCGGAATATTAATACGGCTCTGCAAAACCCATATATTGGACAAATCTTGCCATTTCAAAGCTCTCTAATTAGGTAGAATAGGTAGAATACGGTATTGTGCCTTCCTGGAGGGTATATTGCAGTAAGAATCACTGAATTGGGGCTAGTATAATTGCTCCGCTTAGTCAGGATCTATATACTTACTTCCTGAAGCTTTATACTTTACTCAAGCTCTTTTCTAGCTAGTTTAATAAACTCTTTTACTATCTAATGCAACTCCCTACTCTGCGATCTTTACGTGTATTATATATTTAATTAAATATTAAGAATTTACTAATTTTAAAGTCTTTCCTAAATATTAATTCTCAGATATTTATTTTAGATATTTATTTCAGATATTTATTAAAATATTTAACTTAAATATTTATTTTAAATATCTATTTTAAATATCTATTTTAAATATCTATTTTAAATATCTATTTTAAATATCTATTTTAGATATCTGCCTTAGATATTTATTAAAATATTTATTTCAAATATTTATTTTAAATATTTATTTTAAATATTTATTTTAAATATTTATTTCAGGTATTTATTAAAATATCTATTTTAAATATCTGCCTCAAATATTTATTAAAATATCTAAGTTAAATATCTATTTTAGATATTTATTTTAGATATTTATTTTAGATATTTATTTTAGATATTTATTAAATATTTTATTCAAATACTTATTTTAGATATCTGCCTCAGATATTTATTAAAATATCTAATTCAAATATTTTTTTAAATAGCTGTTTTAGATATTTATTCTAGATATAATTCTTAATATAAATATATATTCTTTTATTTTCTTATTTTTACTAGAGACTAAATTGTTTTAATTTTATTTAGAGATTTCGAACTCTTATTATAAATATATATTTTTATTATTTAGCTTATTTTATTATATTAATAGTTTTATATTTTAGTTATCTTTTATTTATTTCAATCTAGTAAGAAATCTTATATATTTAAAGAAAATTCTTTATTAGAATATAATATTAATAACTAGTTTACTAATAATCTTATTTTCTACTAGTATTATAATAAACTAGTCTATTCTAGTTTACTATTTATTTTCTCTTTAAGCTAATAATATTTTAGGTTAATAATATAGCTATTAGCTCTTAAGCTAGTATTAGTCTATAGTCTAAATAATTTCTCTTTACTAGCTATCTTTTTATAAATAGTAATTTTTTAGAGATTATTAATTAAAGTAATATTTTACTAAATAAAATAATTATAATAATAAATTCTTTTTAATATTCTATTAATTATTATTATAATATTTTCTAATTCTTTATAAATATAGTAATTAAGCTATTTTATAAAGCAAATAAAACTATTTAATAATATTAAATAATATTTTTTATTATTTAATAAATTTGTCTTTATATATAAATATAAATAATTACTAAAATTAATCTAGGTATTTCTGTTAGGTGGGTATTTATTCTAAAATAAAAATAATTGTTATGAAATAGTATTTTAATTATCGAGCGGTACTTACTATTTCCTGTTTATAGAACTAGATTTCTTAGTAATAAGTAAACATAATATAATCAAGAAATATAATTAAATATTTGTATATTTTAGAAAATTACTAAGATTATATTTATTTATTCATAATAATAAGCTAAAAGCTTTTATATTAAGATATATACCGTATTACTATATAATAACACACATAGTTTTATATTTAATATCTAAGCTTTAAGTTAAGGCTGTTAAAATAAATTGAAGATTTTAATAAACTTCTTTGGAAATAGAAAAACCTATACAAAGAGATTCTTAAAGTAATAATAAAAAAACCGTTTTAATTCTTTTTAAATAGCTTTTAAGTACATTTCAATATAGCTACTAGTATACAAATATAATAAAAAGGCAAGTTCTTTATTAGAATTTTACTATACTTATATTTTTTGAATTAAAAATTTACTTTATATATATATTCAAGCTTTAGGCTTAAGAAACAAAAAATAAAATAATCAAAACTAGAAGTAAAAAGACTAGAAACTCAATTATGTAACTAAAAAAAAGAAAGTATTTCTTTCTAAATTAAAAAATATTAAGAATTAAGAATTATAAAGAATAATATTCGAGATCTAATAGAAATATTTAAAAAGAAAGAC